AATATTCATTAGTAGATCTACATCATAGTCTACATACACAGATGACATGTCTACAGTCTCTGTCATTGCACACGATATGCATGTGCATGATGTGGTCCTTCACTCCTTCAACTTCAAGAGTCCTTGTGCCAGTTGTGGGTCTGGACTAGTGACTCGACTGGAGTCACATGCTCTGATCTCGTACTCGGGAGGCAGCATGCTATCGACGAGTAGATTGTACATGTATCGTCTAGCCTTTTGATCGCTACTTCGAGTCTTCGAGTTTAGTCCCTGTGTGACTCGGTCTCGGGCCAGTCTACATGTATGTGAGCGTTCTACGCATTTGCTGGAGGAGGGTAGTAGCGGTATCTTGGCGGCCGTGGACTGGTGGTGGTGGTGGTGGTAGCGTTCATATGTTGTTTTGATTTCTCACTAACCTGCCGTCGAGTTGGTGAGGGAGGTCCTGCGAGCCTGCTCTACCACTGGTGTGTGGTAAGCATGGCGTCGACGAAACGTGATGTAGCCGAGCTGGAGGCCATGACTGGAAGTACGTCTGTTTGTTTCTTTCGCTGCTGCTATCTGTTGTATACGTTGGAGGTAGCTTGGCTGCTGAGAATAGTTTCTAAAGACCACCGACCGCTGCACTGCTGCTGCGTTTCAGCAAGCCTATAGAGGAGCAAGGTGTCCAGAGATATTTTCCTGTTCCTGGCTTCATGGTGATATGTACGTCTCTCTCCCTGCCTATTTGTTTATCTGTGTGTGTGTGCTTCGCTGCAGAGCTGAAGCGACAGTTCGACTCGCACCTTTTCTGCCTGGACCAGAAGGCTACGAACAAGTTGGAGATACTGCAAGAGTGGCACGAGTACCTGCGAAAACGCGTGGAGCTCGAGGGTGATTATAACAAGAAATTAGAAAGCTGCAGCGATCGCTTTCTGGAACGTGTGACGAGATTGCGAAGTTCTACGTCAACGAAGGGGTTAGTGCTATTTTCTTGTGTGATTTTTGCAACTACCCAATCATTCAAGCTAGCCCCTGGCCTGCTGCTCGAACTCAAGATATCCCCAAACATATCATGTACAGGAGATGCTTCAGTTCTTGCGTAGTCCCCCCACCTTTGCCTAGTTGGTCAGGAAGGTCGTGCCTTGTCCGTTTCCTGACCTGCCAACGGCAATTGCATTTTGTTATTCTGCTAATGATCGTGCCCATTTGCCACATAATAGTACCATACTGCGGTGGAGCTTGTTCGCTTGGCGTGCTCGCTCCTGCCTAGCTGTTTGACGGCAGCGCGATAGCGACTGTGCTTTGGAACATGCTCATGGATTGTTCTTGCCATATCTGACTCAGAATGTCTGTTCACTTTTTGTTGTTGTTGTTACTGTGTTCTGTGATATGAGTGTTTGCATGTATTGTTGCTGGCTGTGCATGTTGCATTGTATGATTTGTGTCTGTTCTGTCTCCGTCATGCGTGTGATTGCAGTGTGGCCCCAACACCATCCTCAACCACCAGTGACTTGCTGTATGGCATGCTAGCGGAAGCTAAAGCCCTCGCTGGACGGCGTGCGCACTATTCAGATCAGCTGAACAACGACGTTTTGAGTCGAATCGACATGCTTATCAAGGACACCAACCTCATCGCAAAGAAGGTACGCAGCGGGAGTTGCTGCTGCTTTCTCTGGCATTGTTGAGAACAGAAGTGGCCAGCGAAATGTTGGCTTTGGGGTTTCTGTAAAGAATCGGTTTTATCGCACAGCGGGTATATTTTCTTTTTTAGTTTGTGATCAGGCCAGAATGGTGCGGTACGACTCGTTCTCGTACTAGTTCGGTTTTGCCTCATGCACCAAGCATACACCACCTTACACCATACGTCGTGTACGTCATGAACGCTCTGGCGAGTAGTGGTGATCGTTACCGTCGCTATGCGTGACGATAGGGCGATGTTGTTCGGTTGGTGTCGCTTTTCTTGTTTGTTACGTGTGCGACTCGGTAATTCATTGTCGTTCTGGTAGCATGTCTGCATGATCTATGGAAGTAAGTTAGTTTAGACACACTCGTGAGCTCACAACTTGTCCTAACCATAACCATAATCGTATGCATATCATTGAGTAAGACACCAGCTCACTGTGACTTGCTTCTCAACTCAACTACGGAAAAAGCATGTCCACAAACCAATGTTAGTCAAAACCGTGTTTAGGAGCATGGAAGGCGTATTTGTCTACACCAGAAGTCCACTTTTACAGGATGCTCTCGAGTAGGAGAAAACAGACTTTACCATAAAAGCGTGGTGTCCAGTCACTGCTTCTGAACAAAGCTGCTGTGCTGCTGCTGCTGTCAGGAAGCTGGTAGAGGATGCTGCTGCTGCGGCACACGTCCTTGCTGGGTATTGTCTTGTAATATCGCACGGCAGCAAACTCATTCTGATCATCTTCTCTTTGCGCATGATATGCGTAGCTATGTTGAGCCATCTGTTCCTCTCGGATAGGAAGGTGTGTGCAAGTTGGCAACAGCGGCATGCGTGTGTTGACACGCCGAATATGTAGGAACTATGTGCGGACACCATTAATTTTGATGACTGCGAAACAAGCATTGGTCCTCGCTTGTTTTGCATTAAATTGTAGATAGTGTGCTCCTGTGTGTACACTGTGTGCACCGTCAGGGCAGTCATGCAATAACGTTATCTGTGTCTGTGTGTGTGTGTGTGCACGTGTGTGTGTGCGTGCACATTTGTGTATGTGCGTGTATACATGTGTGTGTGTACGTGTGTGTGCATGTGTGTGTACGTGCAAGTGTGGGCACGTGTGTGTGTGTGTGCACCGGCGTGTGTGTGTGTGTATGTGTGTGTGTGTGCGCACGTGTGTTTGTGCACCGGCGTGTGTGTGTGTGTGTGTGTGTGTGTGTGTGTGTGTGTGTGTGTGTGTGTGTGTGTGTCTATGCAAAGTACGCATATATATATATATACAAATATTACACAGCAATGAATCAAAAACGTCTCATTCCGCTGTAACTCCGAGTTTCGTGTCAGAACACTTCATCAGACAGCATATGACCAAGACTAACAATCGCTAGAATATATATATACGGAGAAGGGGAGAAGGGGGCAAAAGTGATGGAGGTACATTTCAGTAGCGCGAGGAAAAGGGATGACAAAATCAGCGTGATTATAAGAGGAAAAAGATGTTGAGAGTATAGAGCATAGCCAGGGTAGAGAAACAGCGCGACTTTCTGGTAACACATCAATACAGATTTGTGCTGCATTGTTACATATCAAATTGTGACCTAGGGTGGTAAAAATGTTGATGGGGATTGTGTTGTGGGAATCACTCACGCCAGGCAAGGGGGTGACTACCACACCCGCCAAGGCATCGGAAAACCGGCGACAGAAGCCAAGATCCGCCAAAAACGCGTGAGCCATGAGCCCTGGTGAGTGCTCACCATTCCCGCGCCCCGCATATATATATATATGTGTGTGTGTGTGTGTGTGTGTGTGTGTGTGTGTTTGTATGCTTGCGCGTGTGCGTGCGCATGCATTTTTCGACATGCTCAGGTGAGAGAAATTGGAATCGGTATGCACGAAGACATGATGCGGTCCCATCGTGATTTGACAGAGGTAAGCACACGCATGACATGTCCACTATCACTGCCATTGTATTATTTCCTCTTATAGTCTGCTTAGACCCCTGCTATTGTCTCTAATCTACACCGCTGCTGTGCGGCGTAATCTTCGCTCTGTTCTTAGGCAGCCAGGGCGTACCATGCTGCGTTTTCCACGATGTCTGAGTCTCAAGCCAAGCTGGTCAAGTTGCAGGCGCGAAGTGCGAAGGGCAAGAAATCGGCCACAAGTGAGAAGGACAAGAAGAAGGAAATGAAGGTCAGAGTGACTTCTTGGACGTGATTCTCTTGCTGGCAAGAAGTAGTCTTCTGCTGCACCTGTTGCGAAGAATAGTTTTAAAACATTTGCTAAGCGGCAAGGAATCCAGGGTTTTTATCGGCCCGTGCGTTCTGGATGATGCGTGTGTTTATTTTCTGTTTTTCCTCCAGTTGATCACAACAATGATGGCTAACAAGCGAGACGTCATCAAGGCGCGGAACCAGTACATTCTGCATCTGAAAGGTGCAAACGTGCACACGCAGCGATACTTCTCCAAAGGTCTATTTGAGCTATTTGAGGTATGTTGGAGTGTCCAGAGGTTTCACCTAGAGCTCGGGGAGAGGGAATTGGACACTTATGACTTATGTGTTCTGAGAGCTGCTTCTCTGCCTTGTCGATTAACGCATGTGCACAAAAAGCATCACTGCAAGCCGTCGCATTGATTACTCTCATCTACCTTGATGCTCTTGACTACATGAACGTGATCCTCTCTCTAGTCTTAGCTAAAGAAGCCATGCATGCCCCGAAATCACTCTGTGGCTGCATAGTCTGACATGCCACTGTTCCAATAACCTTGCAAACTGTGTACTTGTCTGCATGTACACTTAGGTGTGATCTTGTGCTACGTACCGTTGTGTGACAGTCATGAGGTACATGTATGTGTAGTAGGCTGTAGGCAGGTGCTGGGCAAGATGCAAGTGTTAACTCCATTCCGCGTAATTTATACTTTTATAAACATCCAGGAGACGTGGAACGAATAGATCTAACCACCATGCATGCCTGTACAAATGTTGGTCATCTTGTCCGTGTCCAAAGCACCTTGTCAGGTGAGGTGCCGGTAGTACTGTAAGAAGTCACCGTGACTGGTGTGTCACATTGCATGCCGATTCAGTGTTCATACTAAATGACTGATGTTGTTCAAAGTTCATCCTTGTGGCCCGCGGCGTCTGATTTTACTACATCACAGTGTCTTGGATTTGTTGTGCTTTGCTTGCTCATGACCTGCATTTGTGTGTGTGTGTATGTGCGTGTGTATGTGTGTGTATGTGTGTGCGTGTGTGTGTTTGTGCTCGTGTGTTTGTGCTTGTATGCGTTCAGTATGCTGATTATGACTTCCAATGGTCAGTCAGTAAGATCTACAGTGTGCAGAGTGAAGCAGAGATAGGCATGAGTGTGGTGGCACGGGAGGCCGCTGACTCCGGTATCAAGCAGTGTCAAAAACTGGATACCAAGCAGGATCTGCAGCGCTTCATGCAGGACTTCGGCAACTACTTTTACCCACCGCCCGAGTTTCAATTTATACCGGCCAAGAAGGAGGAGGTAGGTGATATCATAGAAGTCTTGATTGGCACACGATGTGCTGGGTATGGCTGATGTCCTGTGCACTTGATATACAAGTAGATGGTATAATTGCTGTGGAAGCCTTGTGCCTTGTGTCTTGTGCCTTGTGCCTTGTGCCTTGGTCTTGGGACCTGGGGATCTTCTCAGAATATGTTATGTGTTTGATCTCTTCTGTTCTTGACCGCGTGTGTGTGTGTATGAATTCTTTGTTTTTGATGCAATTTCAGCCTCAGCATCTCACGGTCATTGACGGTATATTTGAGGAGATGAACAAGGAGCGAGCGCAGCTGTTCGAGAAACTCAGTCGTCTGCACCTGTCTGTTGAAGAGGTAATCGCCCAACTCTGCACCTAAGGCTTGTGAAAGTTCATTCACTGCTTGTCATAGACGATATCATTATGCTCCTTCTATTTGCAAGCCACGTTAGACCAAGTTCCTGTGTATGCTATGTTAGTCCAAGGTCCTGTGTATGCTGCAGGCGTCATGTGTAGAACTCACCTATCTAAGGATTGCGTCTTCGATTTGGGTGACTTGATACGAACTTTGTTGCAATTTGCCATTGCTGATACTGAGGCATACTTTACTGAGTGTACTATCAAACCTATGTTTGTGTCTGCAGGAAACCAAGACACTAGAATGTGTGGAGAAGAATGTCGCCAATGTACAATCCTTGATCTTTGACAGTGGCAAAGCGAAGCAGCCAACAGGCAGCCTGTCTGCAGCTGATGTCGCAGCAAATGCATCGACTGAGCCTGAGGAAGATCCCGGACCCCCGCCGCCTGACGTACAGAGGAAAGGTGAGGTGATTTGAATGTCTTTGGCGAGCACGCACCAGCTTCTTCAATGTCAAGGTTCTGGTTCTCAGCAGGCGGCGCAGGGTAATGCCCGACATCGCAGTTATTTGTGTATGTGCCATGTCTGTATTGACTGTGGGAATCGACCACATGGCACCGTTGTGGAGTTACATGCGATATGAATTCAGACATGCGATATTGTGTAAACTGTTGTTGTTGTTGTTGTTGTTGTTGTTGTTGTTGTTGTTGTTGTTGTTGTTGTTGTTGTTGTTGTTGTTGTTGTTGTTGTTGTTGTTGTTGTTGTTGTTGTTGTTGTTGTTGTTGTTGTTGTTGTTGTTGTTGTTGTTGTTGTTGTTGTTGTTGTTGTTGTTGTTGTTGTTGTTGTTGTTGTTGTTGTTGTTGTTGTTGTTGTTGTTGTTGTCTGCAGCCTCGACCAATCCATCGGGTCACTCTCGGTCTACCAGTGTTGGCAATGTGAAGAGTGGTATCATGAATGAACGCAAAGAGCACATGGACTTTCTATACAGTGTAAGTTGACGCTACAGCAAAACCACCGCTGTCTTGAACGACCCGGCACTGCAGTCCGAGACCTCTTGTCTTTAGCGACCACTGCAACAAGAGACCTCTGTCTTTAGCTACATCTGTCTTGAACGACCACTACAGTCCGAGACCGCTGTCTTCAGCGACCACTGCGATTAGAGACCTCTGTCTTTAGCGACCACTGCAACAAGAGACCACTGTCTTTAGCGACCACTGCAACAACGGACGCTGCATTTGGCAACTTCTGCAGTAAGAGAGCGGTGTCTTTAACGACCACTGCAGTAAGAGACTGCTGTCTTTGGAGACTACCCAACTCAGATACTGTAGCCTGCCCCGGTGCACACTTTGATCTGTGTAGAAACACTATCTGTGTATAAAGTCCACCTTTTCTCTGCATCGTTTAAGATGGATGATTTGCCTGTAGCTCAGCCTTGAATAACTAATACTGGTTGGACAATGTGTGTAGATTTAAATGGCCATTCCTAAACCTTGCGGGAAGTTGATCCAATCTCACTGTGCTGCACATTGCGCGAAATCGCGCATCTATGAGCGACATCCACATAAACTGCTGGGACCATGGTTGTGTACTCGAATCTCATTCTGAGCACCCTTTTTTCTTCCTTTTTTCAGCCGTTTTTTGCAAAAAGTCCTCGAGCTCGATTTTTTTTGATCGATCGTTCTTCAAGGAAAGACGAGTGGACAACCGATCAACAGGGCCGAGGACGAATGCGTCTGGTTGGAGTTCTTGCGTGGCACAGGATGACCAGACACACATATAGATACATTGCGACGATCTAATCTGCACAGTGTTTCCTAATACCGCACGCACGACGGTAAGTACAATTCATGTGATTTCAAATTGTTTGTGATCTACAACGTCGCGAGCAGGAAGGAAATACAGCAACAGCACGACAACCGTTATACCAGGCAGTAACCAACAGTCACCTCCGTCACATTCTCCAGATCAGAAGGCAAGTGAGGCAGTGAACATGAAGAAATAAAGTATGAAAGAATGAAAAGTGAATAATTCAAAAATCTCAGAAACGTTGAACGTAAAAAACACTGAGAACAAGAAAAGTGACTTACTTCGATGGCAAAAGACAAAGCGAATGTTCCTCGTATGGACCTGGCTCTTGCGGAATCAGCCACACTGTGGAACCATGTGTTTGATTCCACAAGGGATGGCTACCTGCTCCTCACCAACCAGCCTCCACGACGGTGGTAAAGTCGCCAAAAATACGAAAGTTGAACATTTTGTGCATGCATGCAATAGAAAATTTGTGCTGAGTATTGTCGAGTGGCCATTCGCACAGGACAAAGCCGTTGCGCAAGCTGTGACCCTGAAATTTCGTCCATTGGTAGCGAGGGTAACCCTGAGCTGGAAAGTGTAAGGGATGGCATGCTACACTCCCCCGCATACGCTTGACAGCACGATTTGAGGCGTGGAGTAGTAATATACCAGTATCTTACTACCCCTTGATACCTGATGCATGGACGTCGTCATCTTCATCCCGCAGATCGAAAATGTACAGGTGTCGCGTGATTTCGCGCAATGGCACTCTTCATGCAATACGTACAGCTACCCCACCGCACTCCCCAAACGAGATTACCAATTCCCGTCACCTTCAGGCGATTCTGTAGAAAACGATTTTTGCCTCATGTTGTTGGGCTTCTTCAGGTGGCTCATGTTTAACCCTTTACCATCCGACCAAAATTCCCCAGCAGTCCCAAATGCAATAATTCTCACCTTATTCTGAGAATATCTTCGGTTCTAATCAACCAATTTTCACAATCTTGGGCATTCTGGAAAGCTCTCCACGAGCTGCGTACATTGAGCTCAAACAGGACACTGCCAAGACCACATAGCAAGCGCCAGGGAGCTTCAAATACACCCCATCGCTGGATATACGAGGAAATTCTCTCCTCGCCAGCCATTTCTCGCTCCTTCATCGTAAACTTTCCAATTTTTTTTGCTTGAGTTCCTTTTCATGCTGCCCACGTGCTCAAAGCATGCCAAAGTGACTCAGCATGTCAGGAGAGGGGAAAATCCCCGCTCAAGGTCAGTCACTCGGAAAGAAATTCGACTTTTGCCGTAGCTGAAATGTCGAGCGAAATATCTTTGGAATGCGACATCACAGCTCTTTACCGATTGATGCAATGGAAAGCTGGGCTCTTCGGCTTCTTCCTAGATATTTAGTTCTTTACATTCCGACAAGAATCGATCGAGTTACGAGTGTATGCATGTCCATCGATCTCTAGAGATCGATTCAAGTACACACGGATGGTAAAGGGTTAAAAGAGATGTCTTTGTTAGGTTCAACTGACGACCATGTCTAACGTTATACATGATACTTTCTGGGATCAAATAACCGCGTCTGGTTTTGTGAAGAACTATGCAGCCAAAATTGTGCCCATGGCTCTACAGTATAAACAAGACAATGTCATGCTTTTTTTTAGCAAAGACAATGAATCAGCAGCGTGTAGCTGATTGCGTCTGGCCTGCAAACAACAGTACAGTGACCGGATGATTGGTGTATTTGGTGTATTTGACTGCTTCTTTGAATTGGCAGGTGCTGCAAAGGATATCAAGCAACAAAACGTGCCTTGACAAGTGGGACTCGCAGCATACGTTAATGGATAATACACTCGGTAGGTTAGCTCTACTGCTTGCACATGCATGCGTGTCCATTGACTTTCGCTTCAAAACGTGCCCAGTTCGAACAAATGATGACCATCCCCTGTGATTTCTTTCTAGTTAACAACACGGATGGGCGTTGAAATCTGTGGATATGAAAGCACACATGTGTAGAGTACATTGCACGTGTGGTACACCGATACGTTGCCTAAATTTGGCTGCACTGTACATTGACCTGATCTAAACTGATATACTAAGATGTCAGTCTGAGCTTTCAAAGTACATGTAGGTCTGTTTGATTAGATAAATAATTTGCTTTGGCCAGTTTTCGGAGTAGGCAGGCAGGCAGGCATGACGAGGGGGTCATTAGGGGCAACAACTTTTTTCTGCGTGTTTTCTGTTTGTTCACAGCAAACTTGACGGAGCAGGATGTCTAGTAAGTGTCATGGGTCCCCACAATGGTTTGTTCACCTTAGCGCTTACCGCTAGCCTTGTCTGTGAGAAAGGCGTGTGCTTTTCTGTGATACATGCTGATACTTGTCCCAGCAGCCTTTGTAATGTCGCAGGAAGCGTGATATTCGAAGTCTAAAGAAAATCTGTGTTGAAAAACGGTCTCAGCTTGGATGACTGCTGCACAATAACTCAGTGGTGGAGTATCACTGGCCAATTGCGAAGGTCCCTGGTTCGAGTTCTGGAGGTGATGACTGTTTCTTTTAAAATATGTCCCGTTTCACCTCCTTCAACTGATGAATACTGTAATGTCGTTCATTAAAGCCGGACTTATTCCTGTAGAAGCCGATGTCCGGGCTAGGCTTCCATTCACATCAGGCTTTTATTCAAACCAGGTATTTCTATGTGTGTCAACACTAAAACCAGGCTTATGTGGCGACAGTGTATCTTGAAAACCAGGCTTGCATTCAAAACAGGCTTCTATGAGACAGGCTTCTATGAGACAGGCTTCTATGAAACAGGCTTCTATGAGACAGGCTTCTATGAGACAGGCTTCAATGAAACAGGCTTCTATGAGACAGGCTTCAGTACAAGACACTATGGTACATGCAGTACTAACAGTACGTTATCGGCATTAACTATTAACTGAGGTTTGTTTGGTGTGCCTTCACAGTAAACTGACGCAAATTGAAGTTCAACAGACCCTTGGCGTGGCAAGGGCAACGAGACCTCTGCCAAAGCTATTCGGTGGAAGTGTCGATGAGTACTGCCTAGTGAGTTGCAGTGCATTGTCTTCTTTGCCCTCACCTATCAATCTTCTTTAGAGTTCTATCTGATTTGTGCAGACACACAGACACGCACACACGTACACACACACACACACGTACACATACGCACACACACACACACATACACACATACACACACATCTACATGAGTACATACATACATACACATGTGCACACACATCTTACGCACACAGACAAGCAGACACGGCATCACGGGCATCAAACCATTGTTGAAATGACCGGCAAATTTATCCACCACACCTGGCATGTACAAGGCATGTAATAAAGAGTGTCAATCTCACATACATGTACACTCTTCGAGTGTGTGGCGAGATGCACCTACTTTGAAGTAGCGTGTGCATCTATCATACTACTAGGTGTTAGCCTGGTGCTTCTCTAGTCAGCATTGTCATAATGCTGGGCATTGCCAGCAGCAGGCGGTATTGCCAGCAGCCGGTATTGCCAGCAGCAGGCGGTATTGCCAGCAGCAGGCGGTATTGCCAGCAGCAGGCGGTATTGCCAGCAGCAGGCGGTATTGCCAGCAGCAGGTATTGTCAGCAGCAGGTATTGCCAGCAGCAGGCGGTATTGCCAGCAGCAGGTATTGCCAGCAGCAGGTATTGCCAGCAGCAGGCGGTATTGCCAGCAGCAGGCGGTATTGCCAGCAGCAGGCGGTGTTGCCAGCAGCAGGCGGTGTTGCCAGCAGCAGGCGGTGTTGCCAGCAGCAGGCGGTGTTGCCAGCAGCAGGCGGTATTGCCAGCAGCAGGCGGTATTGCCAGCAGCAGGCGGTATTGCCAGCAGCAGGCGGTATTGCCAGCAGCAGGCGGTATTGCCAGCAGCAGGCGGTATTGCCATTCTTAGCTAGCAGAGCAATGAGTACATGTACTGTGTTGGATTGTATTGCATTGGACTGTACTGCATTGGATTGTATTGCTTGTGCTACAGGCAAGCGGTGATCCTGTGCCTCTGGTGGTTCGTAGTTGCTGTAAACACATTAATATACATGGTAAGCAGCACTGATTGCCCCTCCGTGTTGTCATCCTGTGCTTTGTTTGGCGACTTGTAAGTGTACCGTTGAATCTACGTTTGTGTCGAACAAAGGGCTGCTGCACGATGACCGGGAGATGCTGTTGGTGATGTGTTCCGTGTGCATGCGTGCGTGTGCACATACGTGTGTGCACGGGTGTGTGTGTGTGTGTGTGTGTGTATTGGACCACATGGAGTTGAACTTGGTTAGTTGGCACTTGTACAAAATCCATACATGACAGTTGTGTCCGCAGATTGAGTACAGCGGCACAGTGTATATTTGCCCATCGGTTCTTTTGTTTGTTCTACTGCACAGGGTACAAGACGGAAGGTGTATTTCGAGTGCCTGGTCCGGCAAACGAAATTGATGAGCTAAAGCAGAAATTTGAGCAAGGTTAGTATACTGTGCGGAGTATGGCCGTATAGAGGTATACTCTGCGGAGTATGGTCGTATAGAGGTATACTCTGCGGAGTATGGCCGTATAGAGGTATACTCTGCGGAGTATGGCCGTATAGAGGTGGTCCATGTAACATAGTAATATACTAATAGTACAGTTGTGTTAGGTGAACTCCGACTCAAAGCGAATACTGGGCACCAAAGTGACAAAGTCGTCATCATCCACAGGCCTTGGTGCCCTGGAAGTTGTATGGTTGCTGCTGGCCGTGTAGGCGTGCGCGTTGCTTTGCAGGTTGGATCGGGTTTCACCCTACACATGTAGTAGTCCGCAAAGCTGCACCATACCGTGATGGCGACTATACTAGTACAGTGTCATGTAGATCACCCGTATGCTTACACACAGCATGAGAGTCTTATGACTCCGCCGGAAAATGGCTCTGAACGGGAATTGCCACGCATTCAACTTGAAGACTCTCTTTCTAAATCTTTACTGAACCTTCAGAGCGCTCGTTCGTAGCAAAGGGTTTGTTTATAGTAGAAGGATTCTACTAGTATTCGACTACTGGACTATTCTGCTTATGAACTAAAAAACTTGAAAAAGCTGAAGAAATGGGAAGAGAAGAGGGGTTTTAAAGAGTACAGAAAGGAGGTGGTAAGAAAGGTCAATCAACTAGAAATCAACTAGAAATCAACTAGAAATCAACTAGAAATCAACTAGAAATCAACTAGAAATCAACTAGAAATCAACTAGAAATCAACTAGAAATCAACTAGAAGAATAGACTAAGACTACATGTATGTAGGTGGAAGAATAGCAAGGTGATATCAGCAGCAACCATAAACGCTGTGAGCGGCAGCGAATGAGAGTGTACAAACGGAGAGGGACACGGTACCTGCGGTGGAGAGGAGATGGCCTGTCACACCAGACACAGGGACAGATGTGCCGGAATGAAGCAGACACAAGTGAAACACTAGAACCGGTGCCAACAAGAGCGCGGTATTTCGTATCTTGGAGAAGAATCTCAACGTAGACAGATGGAAAGCAGCAGATGACGCCTGAACATGAGTAACAGGACACGTACAGAAGTAGGAGAGCGTCCACCAACAGTACAACAACAGGTACAATGATCACAAGCAGTACGAGTCGGCACCGGCGAGCTAGAACTACTACACTACTAGTATTGACTCTGAGACTGGAGCTTGCCGAGCAGTTCCGCCAATCAATAGCAATCAATAGTGGTTTCCCGACTGGAGCTTGCCGAGCAGCGCCGCCAATCAATAGCAATCAATAGTGGTTTCCCGACTGGAGCTTGCCGAGCAGCGCCGCCAACCAATAGCAATCAGTAGCGGTTTCCCGACTGGAGCTTGCCGAGCAGCGCCGCCAATCAATAGCGGTTTCCCGACTGGAGCTTGCCGAGCAGCAGCGCCGCCAATCAATAGCGGTTTCCCGACTGGAGCTTGCCTAGCAGCAGCGCCGCCAATCAATAGCGGTTTCCCGACTGGAGCTTGCCGAGCAGCAGCGCCGCCAATCAATAGCGGTTTCCCGGCTGGAGCTTGCCGTGCAGCACCGCCAATCAATAGCGGTTTCCCGACTGGAGCTTGCCGAGCAGCGCCGCCAATCAATAGCGGTTTCCCGACTGACGAGCGCCAAGTGTAGATTGGTGACAGTCGTGACGGAAGTGGGAAGGATCTCCACAAGTGAAGCATCCGTGATCACGCGAGCCAGCGTGAAACCCGCGGCCTGGGCCGTTGTGTGGAAACGTGTTGCGATTCCAGCCGACAGGAGATCGAGCTGGGTCAGACACAGGTGCGCTTCAATGAAAGACTCCATCACGAACAATACCACCGGCGTTTGAAGGACCGTGACGACGGCCGCGTGGAGCTAGAGTATGGCCATCAACCTTGACATTGCCCCAAAAGGGCTTCCCTTTCTTCCTTGACCTTAGGAGCGCCAGCCAACCCTGCACCCATTGTTTGCAGGGATGCAGGACGAGTTCCTGGACCCATCTCTGTCTTATTGGTAACGCTTCGTCATCTAGTGCTAGCTTGCCAAAGGGCTTCATCCATTTCTTCCTTGCCCTGAGGAGCGGCAGCCAACCCTGCACCCATTGTTTGCAGGGATGCAGGACGAGTTCCTGGACCCATCTCGCGTGGAGCTAGAGTATGGCCATCAACCTTGACATTGCCCCAAAGGGCTTCCCTTTCTTCCTTGACCTTAGGAGCGCCAGCCAACCCTGCACCCATTGTTTGCAGGGATGCAGGACGAGTTCCTTGACCCATCTCTGTCTTATTGGTAACGCTTCGTCATCTAGTGCTAGCTTGCCAAAGGGCTTCATCCATTTCTTCCTTGCCCTGAGGAGCGGCAGCCAACCCTGCACCCATTGTTTGCAGGGATGCAGGACGAGTTCCTGGACCCATCTCGCGTGGAGCTAGAGTATGGCCATCAACCTTGACATTGCCCCAAAGGGCTTCTCTTTCTTCCTTGACCTTAGGAGCGCCAGCCAACCCTGCACCCATTGTTTGCAGGGATGCAGGACGAGTTCCTGGACCCATCTCTGTCTTATTGGTAACGCTTCGTCATCTAGTGCTAGCTTGCCAAAGGGCTTCATCCATTTCTTCCTTGCCCTGAGGAGCGGCAGCCAACCCTGCACCCATTGTTTGCAGGGATGCAGGACGAGTTCCTGGACCCATCTCGCGTGGAGCTAGAGTATGGCCATCAACCTTGACATCGCCCCAAAGGGCTTCTCTTTCTTCCTTGACCTTAGGAGCGCCAGCCAACCCTGCACCCATTGTTTGCAGGGATGCAGGACGAGTTCCTGGACCCATCTCTGTCTTATTGGTAACGCTTCGTCATCTAGTGCTAGCTTGCCAAAGGGCTTCATCCATTTCTTCCTTGCCCTGAGGAGCGGCAGCCAACCCTGCACCCATTGTTTGCAGGGATGCAGGACGAGTTCCTGGACCCATCTCTGTCTTATTGGTAACGCTTCGTCATCCAGCTGCTTGACCAAGCGTACACTTGTACTTCTTCTGATCTCCCCACCACGACACAGCTGACAGGAAACGGCATGTTTTGCGTCGTGTTCAGCACAAAGTCATCCATGGCCAGCAATCGAGGACATCTGAGAGTTGTAATTTTTGTACTCCTCCGAGGTGTGATTTTTGGCGTGCTGGGCCAAGCACAAGGAAGCCATCTGCAAAAAAACTGCAGAAAATGGTTGTTGTTTGATCCTTTGGTGTAATCTTTGTTTCTAGTCGAAGCTAGTTTCTGTTTGGAGCAGAAACGCTGAAATTGACTATTTTCTGCATGTACTCATACATGTACTCATGTACTCAGGCATGCAGTCTCACTCGTATTTTAGCTCTTTTTCTGGAATGGATGCTGCTCTGCGCCCCTTGGTGAACATTTCCTGCGCTCGTGGAGCAGCTGAAAAGGACCACTGGTATGTCTGGTTCCTGGTTTGAAAGTGGAGAGTCGACTTTTGTGCCTTGAAAAAGGAGTAGAGAGCGATAGAGGTACGTCTGTTGCTTATTTTTGAGTGCTCCTCGTACATTTTTGATCGTGATAGAAATTCTCAGACCAAAGTCAGACCAAAGTCAGCGCGATGATGGTCGTACAGTTTTCTTGTGGATTTTTTAGTTGTTTCATCTCGTATCTATGTCAGTATCGTGATGGTGAAGTGGAGAGGGTGATTTTCTTCCTCTAGGCTTCGTTCGGCCGACTTTGCTTCGTCCTCGTTGAAAAGTGATCCTGAAAAAAAGGTCGATTCGAAAAATTATGTTGATTATCAATGTACGTGATGACATGCCATTGCTGGCTATGCATGGAAATAGTGGATGTGATCTTTACATATATGTCCACGCCCACCTTCTTCCCGCTGGAGCTGGGTGTTGAAAGCTTCGTTTGGAAGAAGTTTGTAGATAACCTGTGAACCCGCTCAGAAGATATTGCGCGTCGGATGGACGGTGATACCTTCAGGACTGACTTGACCACATCGACTAGCTCAATCGGCAGCTCAATCGGCAGCTCAATGGTTACTTGAGCATACTTGCCCTTCCTAGCAACACCCTCGCAGAGAAAGGTCGAAACAGTGCTATCGGGTGGGAAGAACGTTGCACCAGGTGCAAGGTCTGGATATGTTCGCCTTCTACCCTTAGACTTGGTTTGCAAGCCTTTCTCCATGCCATCGCTAACAAACGTTTTGGGAAATGTAGAGGAGAACATTATAAAGGCTAGCTGGCTGGTAGTAAGTAATTTTTTTAAACCTTGGAGGGATACCGTACTCACGCGATTAGTGCCCCTGGGGCACTATTTTTTAATGTCCATCACAGATGGGGCAGTATTCAAGAGAGGGCAATATTTTTTCATTGCTGGTACATTCGCGTCATATAGCATAAAACAAAGAAAACAGGGCCTAAAGTGTACTGTAAACGCTCATGACTCCACAGAAACGGGAACAAGACCTGCGATTTTGTTCCTGAAAACACCAGTGCAAAGCAATGGCCAAGAACATTAGCAAAAGAACACCAAACTTGCACATGGCCTTGGTTACAAGACGGGGGGGGGGGGGGCCCTATTCAAGAGAGGGCTTTATTTTTCACTGGCTCTTGGAGACTAGGGCACTATTCGAGATAGGGCACTATTCAAGAGAGGGCTCTAATCGCGCAAGTACGGTAAGTGATACTGGGTGGAGGAAGGGAGGAGGTTTTATAGCAAGAAAACATGTTCTGCTTCGTCATGATTACCACGTTCAGCTAGCAGGTGATGAGGGTGGATCAGTCGAGAACAAGTTTAAACAAGCATCTGCAAGACAATGACCAATGCCAACTGGTCAGACGTCTGTAGATGATGCAACAGCTGCTTAACAGTTTGAGACAACACCGCCGTGCACGTTCGTTCCCACCCTACTCTATGGCAAACGACACTTCGTCCATCATCTCGGTATGCATGCGTTTGCATTTTCTTCATCACAAGGTGAGCGAAATACCTGCAAAACCGCTTGAGACAATGCCGCCATGCACGTTCGTTCACAACCTACTCCATGGCAAACGACGGCTCGCCCATCATCTCGGTACCGTATTTTTCGGAGTATAGTGCGCACCTTTGTATAACGCGCACCCCCAATCTTCATTGGGGGTGCGCACTTTAATCTTCATTGAAGTACATGCATCTCGTATTCGGAGCATAGTGCGCACCTGCGATTTAGGGCCTAAAATAGCACATCTAAAGTGCGCACTATACTCCGGAAAATACGGTATGCATGCGTTTGCATTTTCTCCATCGCGAGGTGTGCGCCCGTCGTCTCGGTATGCATGTGTTAGCATTTTCTTGATCACGAGACGAGCGAAATACCCACAAACCGCTGAGACAATGTCGCAATGCACGTTCGTTCTCATGACTTTGATATACTAGTACCTCCCAGACAAGAGCGCCAATTACCTCCATACTTGCAGATCGTGAACAGATCTATTCAGCGTAGATCTACACACTTGAGCGTACATCACTGCTCGGTGGTGCATCGCATCATTCATTCATTAAGTTCAGATGTATCGCAGGTGATCATATTGGCGTCTTCTTCTTAGCACAGTTACATGATTGTACCTCTCTTCGAGTGCGGCCGTGCAAGTGATCGTCTTCTTCGCAGTAGCGCTACCTCTCTTTGAGTGCCGTGCAAGTGATCGTCTTCTTCGCAGTGGCGCTTCCTCTCTTCAATCAATGCCGGCTAACCTGTTGCTTTGCTTCTCGCAGAGTAGCAGGTTTACCGAGGTGATGGATTCTAACATGTTGCTTTGCTTTGCTCCAGTCACGCAGAGTAGCAGGTTTACCGAGGTGATGGATTCTAACATGTTGCTTTGCTTCAGTCACGCAGAGTAGCAGGTTTACAGCGATGATGGATTGCTTTGCTCGTGGAGTAGCAGATTTGGTGATAATGGAATTGCAGGTTCGCTGTGATACATCAGACAGAAAACAGAGTTTGTTACACACGCACACACACAGTTTAACAAAGGTGAAGAAAACAGAGTTGTATCATTGTTACACTTTCCAAAGTTATCGTCATACGTGTACGCTGCACCCCCCCCCCCCCCCTCCCTTTGGCTAGAACCCTGAGCTGTCTATGCATTAAACACATTGCATGCTGTGTGCACCCTGAGAGAAAAGTCATCTGTATACATGTATACGTAGCAGTGTTCTGCTGTTTTGTGTGCTGATTTGCGGCAGGTATTGACCCGTTGATTGACAATGATCTCGTTGATGTGCATGCTGTCGCTAGTCTTCTCAAGCAGTACTTCCGTGACTTGACAGAGTCTATGTTCCCCGCGTCAATGTACCACTCGCTTATTGCTGTGCATCCGGGAGGTAAGTGGACTGATGCCACCGTGCTGTCGACCATTCCACTTCTTTGTAGGCTTGCATGTTGTCCCTGTACTTGCACTACATCCCAGTTGCAATGTACATGTACATTGCAACTGGGATGTAGTGAACAGCCACTGGAAATGCACAACTTAACTTGGACGGCCTTTTTCGATCGATGGTGAGGTTTCTCATTGTGTATCGGAGCAACTGGTTTCGATATTGGGCATGTGTATATCACCAGTGTACATGTCTTACTATAGTGCTAGGTGCATTGATATGGAATTCATTGCTGTTACACTGCCTGCATGAGCGGGATTTGCCTGTTCGTTTGGGCCTACGACGTTAATGTGCGTATTCTGGAGAACAACCCATTACCTGCACATGACTGCGTTTCTTTATTGCTGCTGCTGTGCCGCTCTCCTTATCTGCTAGCTGGAGATGAGAATCGCCGAATGATTGACGAGGTCAGACGATTAGTACACAGCCTGCCCGTGAACAGACAACATCTGCTGCAGTTTCTATTCAAGTTTCTAGAAGAGTGAGTTCTCTTGTTCATTCTCCAAATTACTAACAAGGGCACAGTTTTCCTGGATACGTATTCGGCACGATGCCATAAACTACAGTGTGTACACATACGAAAGGGAATGGGAACAAGTTGGCTGCTAAACTCCACCTCTATGGGACTCGATGCTGAGTCTCTAAAGGAGGCATAGCCGTACAGGGAAGTATCAGTTGGGGTCAAAGACTTGTGACGCTCTGCGCATTGTGGCTTCATGAACAAAATGTGCGTTATTCCGGTAGCTATGCTGAAGACGTTACTTCAGTAACGTCTGACGCTAGCCAGGGTCCACACAGCTTTAATTTCGAATTTGTTTGTTTGTGTCACGCCTGGCGCTATCCCGTATCTGTCCCGTACCGTACCGTACCATCAAACACAGCTGGCCACAAACAGCTGGCCACAATATTCAAATAGGGCTTTCAAATGCAAGATCATAACGTGAAGCAACTTGGAAGAATGAGTATGAATGCGAAGTGTATTGGGGAATGGATGTAGGGCGATAGCGCGGGTTCGAATCCCAGGTTATGCCTAAAAAAATAGGAGAATTGAAAGCTGGCCACAAACAGCTGGCCACAATATTCAAATAGGGCTTTCAAATGCAAGATCATAACGTGAAGCAACTTGGAAGAATGAGTATGAATGCGAAGTGTCTTGGGGAATGCATGTAGGGCGATAACGCGGGTTCGAATCCCAGGTTATGCCTAAAAAAATAGGAGAATTGAAAGCTGGCCACAAACAGCTGGCCACAATATTCGAATAGGGCTTTCAAATGCAAGATCATAACGTGAAGCAACTTGGAAGAATGAGTATGAATGCGAAGTGTATTGGGGAATGCATGTAGGGCGATAGCGCGGGTTCGAATCCCAGGTTATGCCTTAAAAAAATAGGAGAATTGAAAAATGTATAACATCCCTATGCTTTTTTTGCCTAGGTCATCAAGGTGATAGACGGTGTTGTATTACCCTCGACCGTATCTGTCCCGTACAGTACCGTACCGTACCATCAAAGACGGCTGGCTGGCCACAAACAGCTGGCCACAATATTCAAATAGGGCTTTCAAATGCAAGATCATAACGTGAAGCAACTTGGAAGAATTAGTATGTATGCGAAGTGTATCGGGGGATGCATGCAGGGCGATAGTGCGGGTTCTAATCCCAGGTTATGTCTTAAAAAAAAATAGGAGAAATGAAAAAATTATAACATCCCTATGCTTTTTTTGCCTAGGTCATCAAGGCAAAAAAGCATAGCGTAGGGCCCTGAGCTTCCAAGCTCTCTCGTTTTGTAGTGACTGCTTGGCACCATGCATACCATTATACGTGTAACTTGATGCAGCACTTGGCCCTGGATGTGTCCCGCTTTCCTATGAGCTGGGTCAAACTTCTCTGGTCTTCGACTTCAGCATGCGCCAGTCTGCGAATATTCAGATTCCAACATCCCTGCCCTTTGGGATGATTTTCGGTATGAGTGGACACTTAACCTCATCTTGACTGTGTGCTTTTGTTGTTCTCCTCAGCTTTTCCGTATTTTGTGAACACACAAAGATGACGGGTAGTAATATTGCGCTGGTCTTTGGGCCCACGCTGATCGGCAACCCGCCCATGGATCCTCAGATCATGGCGCAGGGCATGCCGCTGGTCAACCGCACCTGCTTGTTCATGCTGGACAATCGGCTGGAGATCTTTGGCGACCCGGTGGTTGATGATGTCAATGACGGTGGTGGTAGTGGTGGTGGCAAGGCTAGTGCGCCACCTGCACCTGCAGCACCTGATTATGAAATTGACTATCCAGTACCGCCAGGTAAAGCAACAGTACCCATAGGTGGTTTAGGTTGTTAATTTTCTTAAAAGAACTTTAATATAAGGTTCACACTCTAGCTCAGAGATATTTTCTTGCATTTCACTGAGAACTAGAGAGAGCGAAAGCGATGGTGGGGCCTACTACAGCCTTGATGCAAAGGAAACATAGGCTGACTTTGGGAGTAGCGTGGAGCACTTATGTAACATTAATGTATGCCCATAGGCACTCAAAGAGTGTGGGAGAAAGGTGACGTTGAACACCACATGCATGCACATTAATGCCATGTGTGTATGCTGTGCTTTTCGTTGTGTGCGTTCGGCAGCGGACGAGCCTAAGGCCGACGTGCCGCCGGAACCGACGTCGCCAACATACGCGGTGCCAGAGTCGTCTGATGGCGCTGCTACGTATGACACCATGGAGAACCAGGGACCAGAGTTCTACGAGGAGCAATACGCAGCAGCTTATCAGAAAATCTCTGGTGGCGCCAACGAGGAGATGGTCGAGCCCGACTCCGACTCGGAGACTGATGGAGAGCTAGAGGGTAGGTTCAGCGATGGTGATGATGATGATAGTAATAATAATGATGTCATTGAACTCTGGAGAATTGCACGCCAGAGCTGGAAACTGTCGTCCTGCTCAGTGAAAACTGATTGTGTGAGACAAGCTTGCCCCTGCACCAGTTCACATAATCAGTGTTCGCAAGTCTGGGGCGCAGCGAGAAGCATGTACAGTAAGACCTGCCAAGGCGACCACCTGTCATAGAAGACCACCTGTCATAGAAGACCACCTGTCATAGAAGACCACCTGTCATAGAAGACCACCTGTCATAGAAGACCACCTGTCATAGAAGACCACTCAAACCAGGATCAAGGGATGCTATTTCCAGTCAAATGATCCTGGATAAAGAGACAACCCGGAAACAGAGACCATGTTTTGAAGGTCCCTTGAGCGATCGTCTTAGACAGGTTTCACTGTACCTGATTCACACGATTGTATTTCATTGAGCAGCAGCAGCACTGTAGCATGTTCGCCACTGCAGGAGTGTACGGTATGAGGTTTATACAAGTGATGGTGTGAACTCTTCTTGCTGCTTTACCTGATGAATGGCTGGCACTCATTCAACTCGCAGGCACTGCCGTGTTTCTTTTGCTGACAATATTCTGCGCACATGTTCTGTGTTTCGTTATCCGGATTAGATCAGCGCTTGGTGCATGCACTGCACGACTACGATGCACGCAATGAGAAGGAGCTGAGCTTCAAACGCGGCGAGACGATCGAGGTCTTCCAGTTGACTGCTGATGGCAACTGGTGGGATGCGGTGATAGGTGATTCACGCGGTTATATTCCGGCAAGTTATGTCAAGGTGAGTCACCATACCTACTTCCAAGTAGTCAAAACCAATAACGTTAAGACATTATCATTTAAATCATTCTTTTTAAAAACCTTCATTGTTCGTTGTGTTTGAGAAAGTATTTTTTTTTCTCCCATACATACCAGCAATACGTGTTCACTAGCGTGTAGAAGATTGTGATGCTCTTCGTCTCCTCAAGACTTATGGACTGACTCTTTATGAAGTTTTTACAAAAACGCAGCATTACAAAGTTGCTAATGCTCATAGTAGATCTACACACCCTCCATCTTCTACGGGGACGCTCCCACATGAGTACCGGGATTGGGCGGATTAAATGCGAGCGAGCAACACCCAAACTGTTTCATAGCATTATATTAGCAGTACAACACTGGTTCGTGCTCATGACTCATGTATCGTGTCGGGGTACTCTTAGTACCATAAAACCAGTCAAGGGGACTACTCAGTCTCTGACAAGGCAACCACCTGAACCAGGACTAATTAATTGGATGAAAGGAGCCATGTCAGACTACATGTGCCCAAAGATAGTATTGTGTATACCACACTATTGTCAATTTTCTGACACTGTACCAGTGACTGCTGGACATTCTACATTGTAACCCGCACCTGTATGCGTGTGTGTGTGTGTGTGTGTGTGTGTGTATGTGTGTGTGTATGCGTGTATGCGTGTGTGTGTGTGTGTGTGTGTGTGTGTGTGTGTGTGTGTGTGTGTGTGTGTGTGTGTGAAGAAAAGAAAAAAAAATGGAAAAATGAAAAATAGGGATTCACTGGCCAGAAAAAGTCACTTCAAACAGCTGTGTGGTGGATACCAGGCTAAAAATAGTGGCGGTCAATTCGTCAGCCTTGCAAGCTGTTGAATGGTGTAATCCCAGCACAAGTTGCTATGTCTAAAACATAGCTGTTCGCTATCATCGCTCCCGCGATGGGCATGTCTGAGGTCTGAGGTCTGAGGTGTGTGTGTGTGTACATGTGTGTGCATATGTGTGTGCATATGTGTGTGCATATGTGTGTGCATATGTGCATTGCACTGCTGTGTTTGTTTTGTGTTGTGTGACGGTTGCAGGAGCTGACTAACACAGCTATGCCACAGAGCAGCCAGACAGTAAGTGACACAGCCCTTATCAGCCTCATGATACCACACACTACAACTTGGTACTTCTAAGCACGCTATTGACCTATGCTGTATTCAGTACTATGCAGGCTACTACCCGTACACACACACTTTGAAATAGAGCACAGCATGCTAGCAGTTGGCATAAGTAAGAGTTTTTTTTTAAGGTACAGTGTTACTTTGAAAATAAAGTCAGATCACATCACAGTGTAACGTAATCGGACGCGTTTCCAAAGTAACCATGCCATGTGCATCAATACACTGATGTAACGTTATGCTGCACCCTTCTGTAAGGTTTAATGTGAATATGAGTTCATGTGGTACGTAAAACAATAGTTACATGTGAGCCCGTGTGTTCTAACTTAGCACTCAGGCTGTAGAATAGGAGACACAGTTGTTCGAAGTGTAGCAGCTACATGTGTATGCAGAATACCAAGTGCTGTCCCCCACATGGTTCAGGAGGGCACAGAAGCATTCACCATGCAGTCATCAATAGAGCCTGGTGCACAATGAGCTAATACTACGTGTGGAATGCAACAATGCGTAACCGGGTACTCCCCGTAATCCCGAATCACATACATGTTGGTGGGGAAAGGCCACAAATATGGCATTTGAATTGATGGCACCTTTTCCACTGATACATGTAACAACAAAAGAGTAGTAATATTTCCACTAAAACTCGCCCAAAGGGTGCCCAGTAGACCGAAGTGCCCTTAGCTAGGGTATCCGGATAGCCGAGGTCTGAGTATATGAGTATAACCGGTGTATGTACATGTGCACGCCCTGTGCAGGATTCTGTGGACCTCTCGGCTAGCCAGTCAACGCTGGAGACATCGCAGACAACGGTATTTGAACGCAGCCATTCCCAGACCAGTCAAACACAGCTAGCGCCTACAGCCGCCGGATTGCTCACCTTACCAGAAGACGATGAGATGAAGAATCGCGGTGGCAGTGGACCTGCATCAGCACCGCATGACATGGATCATCTAGGTGAGTCTCCTACACTATGATCCACTCATACACTACTTTCATCATCATGTTTAATACTGGTATGAAGTTATTCGTGTGTAATATCACTTACGTACAATGGAAGGCTTAGAGTCATTAAACGTATGTCTGTTTTACTCGTACAGTGCCCTGGTGAAACTACGGTAGAACTCCCCTTATCCGGGCAGGTTGGGACTGGGCACGGCCCGTAACTCTAAACATACATACTTATCGTAAGCAAGAAAACAACTTCTTACTTACACCAATAGTGTTGGGGGAGTTTTTCGTTGAAAAGCCGATTTTTGTGACTGTAGATGGGTCAGAAAGGTGCCCTGCCCGGTAGACGCACGTGCGCCTGGATTAGGGACGTCCGGATTTAAAGGGGAGTTTTACTGTACTCATTTTCTTCCCACGGTCAAAATCTCGTTGTGTACCGGTATGTCATTCCAGGTCTGTGTGTGTGTGTGTGTGTGTGTGTGTGTGTGTGTGTGTGTGCGCGCACGTGTGTGTGTATGTTTATGATGCACAGGTGAGCCACAAGATGAGGAGAATAGACGGCGCAGTACAGGCGAGTACGGTTCTCATGCGTCACACCAGTTGACTGTCCAGCCGCAGACGTCAGAACCTGCCACACCCAGCTCTAGCGGCAATGTATCCACATTCGGACCCGGATCATCAGCGTCACTGGACCGTGTTTCGGCCAAGGTAGGAATGTTCGGTAGCCAGGGGCAAGGCTCTTCTTCATCCCGTCCACCGCCAGTGCGTGCCAAGCCCGGCAAGCTGAAAGCCAGTAACTTCGAGCAGCTGCAAGGTGTGATCGGTGGCGGACCACCCATGGGTATGGCTCCAAGGCCGCGACCAGGAGCACCGCCGGGTACAGCTGCCGTTCCCGAGGAGAACGTACCCGCTCCAACGCGGCCAGCGCCAGTCCAGGGTCAACGGCGTCCAATGCGCCATTAGCTGCTGCTGCTGGCTGAGATCTAGGTGGAATTCTGAGTTTCTGATCATCACCTCGACAGCCTGGCCTGAGGCAGGCATACATGTGAGCGGCAGCAGCGGCGGTGGGACTTTGGCCTGACAATAGTCTCTGTAAAAGTGGATGGGCAACAGCGTCAGCATCATCGGTGTCATCAACAACTATTTTATTTTTTAGTCAACACGAATGTGTGTGTGTGAGAGAGAGAGATAGCCGGACATGTCCCATTCAACGAACTATATTGCATTTCCGAAGCAGGACAGGAGAACGCGCGCGCGCGTGTATGTGTGGCAAGCTCAGCAGTGCAATATTCCTGACAAACCGCACCATCAGCAGGTGACCACCACCGGTAGCTGGCTTGGCTTGTTCTGAGACACGACCACTGTCATTAGCACTGTCATTAGCATGGCAACAGCTGAAGGTGGCTACACCTGCATGCTCAGCATCAGCACTCCAACCAGCATTGACGAATAAGCATGTGTGTACGTGTGTGTGTGTGCGCGCACACGTGTATGCGTATGTATGCGTATGCGTGTGTGTGTGTTGTCCAAGCACATTGACATTGTCCAAGTCAACTTCACCACCAATGCCAGTCAGTCCTGTAACAGCAACATATGTACATACCCACCTGTATTCTACACTGTTCCATAGTCAATGCTCATGTTTATGTACAATGCAAACGTATGTGTACATGCTAGCGTGTCGCATTTCAGTTCATTCCCATGAATTCACATTTACTGCCCCCCCCCCTCCCCTTCCCTTTCCACCCCCTTCTCATATCGCTAGATTATTGGAGATAAACTTGACGCTGTTGCTGCTGCCGCTGTTGCTGCTGACAGAGAAAGAGCTAGAACACATGATATGCCAGATTACCCCCTCTGCTGCAGCCAATCGCCACTGTCAATATCCACAATTACCCAGGTCCAGGCAGCAGGGGCCATTTGCATCATTATTTTCTTCTCCCGTTTAGCTACTACGTCATTCTATCACTGCAGTTTGAATACTTTCTGCAGGGCATGCGGATGCCAGAGAAACACAGTGCCCGTCACCATCAGCTACTCCTCCTTTGCTTCTGCTGTTTCCTACTACTAACTTCTGCCTACTCTTTGGCACTGCGTTGCTGCCCTGCCCGACCCCAAGAAGCCATCAGTGAGTGATGACATGATGGCATCTTCTCAACGTCTTCAGAGTTTTATGCTTTCCTTGATCGTTGGCTTTGCATTTATACCGTGCGTATATGCTAGTTGTTCTCATTTCTATTCGTTGCCATAACCGGAATGCATTCAGCAGGGCCCTGGTGCTGGTCCGTGCCTTACAGTTTCTAATAATCCGAGCATTGTTTTCTAACCGACTTGCTGGTGTTGCTGTTGGTGTTACTGTTGTGCATGCTTGTAGTGCAGTGACGCATGGAATGTTTGGCTGTTGTTATACGTTACAGGGGCAGTCACGTGACAAGAAGTGCTGTGGTATGTTGTTTACTATTTTTCCTTCCGATCCCATGGATAACGTGGCCCAAAACTCCAGAAGGGGAGAAATTCACAAGATAATGGACGCAGCTTACAGTCCATTCAGAAAAAAATGAACTTCTAGCTTTTGGCCATAAATGGGTCAAACGTTGAGTTTTTTTAGAATTTTTTTCTGCAATCCTCTATGGAATCCTCTTCCAATTATGTTTCTGAAGTTTTTTTCTCCAAAAAGCAAGCCATAACAAGAATAGGATTTCGGTCAGGTTTTGCCCCCAAAGCATTGAATTGAGAAAAACCATAAAAATCCAGGCCGTTTGACCCCGTCTGCAACAGTGCATTGTGCGGTTCGAACCCCAGTTCAGGTACCCTTTTTCAAATTTCAAATTTCGCAGCACTGCACTGTGTACGATTAAATCACGAAAAATCGCCAAATACGGGAGCTCGCCAGAGCCAGAGCCCATCTTTTTATGAATGGACTGTAGGTGTAACAGGTGTGGTGATCAATGCCGTAGCCGTCCGTCCGGATATGCATGGCAATGATAGCACTCAATGCCGTAGCCGTCCGCATGTGCATGGCAATGATAGCACAGCCATGTTGTGGCAGAATGATGAAGATAAAACAATCTTCTATCATGGATTGATAGGGTATGTATTCTAGCAAGAATAACATGGCGGGGAATTGCACCATGTGTCTAATGGACGCGGAGCATGTGCTAACAAAAGAATTGCACCCGGCAGACCTAGAATTTGAATCTCTTGCCTTTGTTGCAATGATGGTGGTGGGGAACACACGATTGCAGCAGTAAGGAGATGTACACTCAACATGTCATGGGCGTACTCACCTGTACACTATGTGTTCGAATCACATCTGCGCAGTAACAGATCAAGAAAACTACGATAGAGGGGTGGATCACATCACATGTAAGCTCCACATTCCACACGGCATCCTAAACAGAAAACACGGCTTCAGTTGCTTTGGCAGTGGATGCAGCTGCCTACGTCAGTTCAGACTCGGCTGAGCTCCCGGTGGTGGCAGCGAGCGACCAGATACGTAGGGAGTTATCACGCTGTGGCGGTGGCGGCTGTGGCTGTGGAGACCGTGACTTCGCTGCAGAATGGCCGTCACAATCGCTATCACTGTCACTGCTGGAGTATTCGGCTCCGGGACTGGCAAACTTCCGCTGTCCTGATGTAGTAGCAACAAGGGGCAGAGAAGGATGCAATCTGTATAGCAGAAGAGAACACATTGATAGGGAAAGAGAGATGACCATTGGGTATTGCATGCACAGCTCAACAGTTTTTAAATGAAGGTTGGTTGCTCCTACGTGGAACACACGCTTCCTGCTGAACTTGACACTTGACTGACTCACGACTACCATCCAGCGCACACGAGGAGCATGTCAAACCTTCCATTCGGCAAACCTGCAAGAAAGCACCGTTCCCTCAGGCCTGCGCAGTGCCCAGTGTTTCGGGGAATTCACCCGTCATCAGTTGAGCTTGAGTAGGCTGAAGAAGTTAGTGCCTGAAGAACACCACTTATATAGTGCTCTCTAGGCCAAACCACCACCAGGG